TTTCCTTTGTTGCCTTAAGGAGGGCTAGCCTTTGTTTCTTTCCTTTGTTGCCTTAAGGAAGAATTATATACCTCCCCGTTTAATTCCTTCCAAACCAGGTTCTGCCACTAGCACGGTGTAGCTGGCAAATTGACTTCCCAGATAATTCGGAAAGACTTAAACCAGCAGTTCATGATACAGACAGATACCTGTGGAAGACCTAGTGCCTAAAGAATGAAACCCGGAGGAATTAATGTCAAACTCCTCTTTCTACGCCTTTTCATCCCCCAAGACCCTCGCACGGCACCGGTTGCCGAAGGAAGCCACAAGGAACCCAGTCCCGCCTGGGTGGTGGAGCTCTCACCACTCTCATCGCTGGTGCTGCTGCCACTCTCACCTCCCATGGAGGTAGAGCTACTGGTGGCGGTCTCCTCCTGCTCCTGCCCAACCGCTGGCCGGGCGGTGGTTTCTGGAAGAGTGCAAGAAAAGGAATGAAGTAAAAGACTGGGGTCCACAAATTGCTTCAAAAGGAACACTTGGGGTCTTTGCTCTCGTCAATCGAAAGCAAACTCATGTCCAGAATCTTGAACATTTCTCGCCGTGGGAATGTTGGAATCATCCTGGTCTTGGAAGACCTAGAACTCAACCGAGTCGGCGAGCATTCAGAGATTCATCAATTGCTCAGTCTGCTGCAATTGCTCAGTTGCATGCGGTAAAGAGACTAGAGTTGCCTGAGCTCCCTGACGTTCTACTTCTTTAATACCTGCATTTTTCCAGCAATGGCTGTAGATGCAAATAGAAATAGAAAAGTCAGCTTCAAACGATCCACCCATCAAAGCTTCGTGTCATCTCCACCGAAACTTACCGTTTTACCAGCCCAAAAGCGGTGTCAACCCCACCCGACCCCTGACCGCCCCCGGCTGACCGCCCCGACCTGATCCACGTAGGTCTCGGTGACGGTGGCCAGGCGCCGCTCCTCCAAGCGGCGGGAGCCGCTGAGCTCGGCGGTGGAAACCTCCTCGGCGATGGTGTCGGACAAGTTCATCATCTCGTCGTCGTCCAGGTCCTCGGCGCGGGCTCCACCGGCGGGAGCGCCCAGGGCGGAGAAGGAGGGCGGAGGAGGGCAGAGAAGTGCATGCTGAGGAGTGGCTGTTTATTGTAGTCACTGATATGGCAGGGGAGTTAGTTGGTGATAAGAAGGGTCAGAACTGCTGATGATGGCAGTTTCTTGACGAGAACCAATGTAGCCAAAACAACTTTAGCAAGTGCCAAACTAATCTGATTACCTTTTCTCCAGCCATGTTGCCACTGTAACATTGGAAAGATGGTGAAAGTCATCCCTTCACAAGCACAAGACATCATGTTTCACATAGCCTCCCTCCAACGATCATGGAAAATGGATGAAAATGCTCCCTGGAAAGACCCTTAAGATGCTCCTTTTGTTGAAACAACACTGGGTTTTTGCGTTCGCTTGCCATGGCGCACATCACTCCCTCCCGAAAACTCAGAGGTCCAAGGCTCTGGCGAGTGGATCTTACAAACCATGCGCGCAAAGCCCCAGGTCACACGGCAAAGCTTGTCCGAGATGTTGCGAGGCCCACTGCTGTTCCTGCCTTGGCCACTGCTGTTTCTGCTCTTCCAGGTCGACACGGCGCGACTCTTCAGGTTGTTTTTTGTGCATGTTGCGTGTTGCGTGTTGCGGGTGTGGGTGTTGGTGTGTGGGTGTTTGCGGTGACACCTGGCCCATCAGGAATTGAATAGACTTCATGGTTTTAGAGATGTTTAGAGTGTACAGTGTGTACAGCAGCTGCCTCGACACTTGCATGACAGAATCAACGGATTGTAAAGACCTCTTTTGCACACCAGAACGCTTCTTTGCTTGGACCACCACACGTGGCTAAAACCAACATTCACCACAAAAACCACGTATCCTGGAGACTGGTCATTTTCCCAGTGGCCATTGAAGCCGTCAGAAATGTTCTGGATCCTATCCATGATGCGGTCCAGGAAGGCCTCCGAGCAGTTCAACAGGTCAGTCACTGCCTGGCTTCAGACCGAACTCGTCGGACCCGGTCGAGACCGGGCGCTCCGGCGAGGTAGCGCAAGGGGGAGGCCAACCATCAAGTGAAAGCGAAAGGAACAACCCACACAAAAACCATCTGTGCTCCGAGCACTCTCCTGCCCCAGGGGTGCCATTCTATCCACCCCAAAACCCGTACGGTCCCAACGCAGCCGTTTGGGGCGAAGCGTTCGCCGCACGCCGAAAACGTCGTCAAAACAACGACGGAACGCGTTCCGTCCTCGAAGGCCAACTCCTTGAGCTTTCGGATGAAGACCTCACGACCCTCCAGGTAGGCTTCGCCCAGCTCCTTGACCTTGCTCTCGATCTCGTCGGACCAAATATCCGTGGAGCCACTCAACTCCTGGCGGAGGAGGCGCTCTAGGCGTGGCACCGACGGAGGCGGAGACTTAGAAAGGAAGGAGCTGGGATTCTTTTTCACCTGGGAGTCCTTTTTGGGGGGAGAGTCCTTTGGAGCTGTGCTGGAGAAAGAAACCGGATTGATCAGATCGCTGACAAGGCTTTTGACATCAAGAAGCTGACAGAGTCCAATCCCAATTCATTTCGGTCAATCCCCCTCATCTCCAGGTCGGTCTTTTTTCCAGGCCCGACCCGGCCCAGCCCTGTTCGAGTCGTAGCTCCTCCAACGTGCTCTTCGCCAATTCGATGCAGGTGGTGTTCTCAGTGGCTGAGGTTTCTTGGCACCTCGCGATCGGTGTGGCGGTGTTTGTCGATGTGTGGCTCCACCATCTATCCATTGGGCATCCTGCTTGCACCCGTTTTTGGAAGTCCGGGGACCCGTAGGGGGCGCCATGAGGACCTTGTCAGTCAATGGAAATTCCACTCTCCCATCCTCTGAGCCACCCGGCGCGGCATAGGTCTCAGCAGCAGCCTTGAGATCTGCCAGCTTCTTCACCAAACCAAAGGCACGCTTCTTCAGGCCCATCTTCACCAACTCATCCTGCTGCTTTCTCTTAGCTAAAGGAAAAACATTTCAAGCGCTTGTAAAGCCAAATCTTGCAATAGTTCGCCACCTGGCGCAATTCGGACACCCCCTTTCTTCAAGAACCTATCCAGAAACGATGAAAAGTGCCCATCGTGTTCCCACCATTTCTTCACTGACTTTCCCGCACCCAATTCCAATTCTTGCTTCGATCAGCCCCACCCTGCGCCACCCTGCAGGGTCAACCCGACGGGGCCCACAAAACCCGCTCCTTGGCGGCCTTGACACACTGCGCACGCTCCGCGGAGCTGCACACCCGAGCTGCGGTGGCCACCACGTTGCGCTGGTACTTCTTCAAGACGTCCTGGCAGAAACCCGAAAAAACGAAAGGCGCCAAACAGGGGGGGTTGCGGAGGAGCCTCCAGATGAACAACCAGAGATGATGGAGGAAACACACCTGATTTTTCTCCAGACCGATTCGCCCCAAGTGTTGCTTCCTCCATCAATCTCCATCCATCACCCCTTCGTCCTCGACATCTTCTTCCAGTCCGGCCATCTCAGACTTCTCCTTCATCGCACTGCGGCACTCGGCCTTTTCCGTGTCGCTGGTGGCCTCCTCCATGCAAGCCTCAGCTCAAGTCAAAGTGTCTGAATCTGGAAATGCACCGACACCTTCGAAGACACCATGAACACCAATGACCCTGTCACCCTGCCTTGAAAATCTCGCCCACAGCTTCCACGGCAGCTTCATCCTTGGCGCGCTTCTTCTTGGCATTCTTTCGACCTTCTGAGAGCTCACTGAACAGGTCATCCTTCAGGGTTCATCGAGCCGCAAGAGAAGCAACACTCGTTTTTTGCGGCACTTGAGGAGAAGCACAGGCAGAACTCGGTCCGAAGTACCTCACCTGCTGCCCTGCTTCCTTCACACAAGCAGAACTCGGTCGGTCCTTCACTTTGTCGGATGAGTCCAGCATCTCCAAGCAGCTTTCAAAGGCCTCCTTGGAAGATTCCTCGTCGAAACAAAGCTTCATGTCCTCCTTGTCCATATCTTTGGCCAGCTCTCCTTTGACCCTTCGGGACTCCGTCTCATCCATGTCCTGCGATGGCACTGCATTCTTGGGCAACTCAAGGACATACTTATAAAATGATCGAATGAAAACGTGAGTTGGGCAGCCGGGATCAGCAAGTGCAAATCTCCATGGGAGAATGAAGTTCCTCATCTCACCCACCCACACCAAAACTGGCGGGATCTCTCTGGCTTTCGCCGCGCACAACCCCTGCGCTCGAGCGACGCTCTCGCTCTCTCCTTGCCACGCCCCTGCTTGAAGACTTCGATCACATCTTGGCAAGTGGCACTGGCATCCGCATCCTTGGCAGCTCGACAGGACTTGGCGGCATTCTTCGCAGCGTCCTTGGCACCCTCCAAGTTCAGCCTCTCAAGCTCCTTGCCACGCGCCGGAGAGTGACCGGGAGAGCGTTGTGGAACCAGGTGCTTGTTGGGGTCATGAAAATGTTTGGCAAGATGCAAAAAATCTCACTTCAAGCTTCAGATCTAGAGTACTCCCTTCTGCTACCTCACAATGATTGCTACCTCCACGTTGATTCTATATGATTGGGCTATGTGGTCCAGTGCTGGACAGAAACTTTAGAAGAGAAGCCACTCCTTGGGTCCCCGGTCTCCGTTGGGTTTCTTGGAAAAAATCCCGGTGCCGACCGCCCCATTCCCCCCCCGTTCTGGCTGGGCTCCATGTTGGACAAATCATCCTTGGACCTTCCCATGGACTCAGCAGCCTCCGGACACGGCCGTTTTAATGGCAAAAACTCATTGACCATGCTGCACCAAAAAACCGAATTCAGCTGCCGGTTGACCCAAACGCATCAAACGTGTTGGAAGACCAGTGTTATGCACGAAGTCCTTCTCGGCATGTAAGATCTTCTATTCACAGAAGGAAAACAACTCTATTCACACTAGCTTCCCCCAAACGATTGGCCCATCAGCAAAATCTGAGAGGACCACCACTGCTTTCAGCGGAGCGTGCGCCCGCGCGCTTGGTCCGCGGAAGACGCTTGGTCGCACTTCCAGTGCTCGGGCAAGGTCGCCTTCTCCTTCAGGATCTCCATGCAAGCCTCTCGCGAGCCGGTGCAATCCTGGATGACCTCCAAAGCCGCGCTTCTCCCGGCTTTGGCCAAGGCTTGTGTCCTGCGGAGCCAGCGAGGACTCGCCACTCAGTTCAGCGACTCAGCCATCAGAACAGTCAATTCCGCCACCGATTGACACTCCCACAAGCCTTGCCTGGCACCCCTTGCTTGTGTTCCATTCCTGGTGCCGAGGGCATCTTGAACCAGAATATCCTTGCCTCGGTATCGAACCAAGACCGGAGAATGGCTCTTGCTTATGAAACCAGCTTGAACATGTGTCGCGTCTCTGCTTTGCAGAAACGCATTCCCAGGAGTAAGAGCTTTCGTGTGTGTGTGTGTCCACACCTGTGCCTAAGGTTTTGACTCACAAAGAACGCTACTAGGGCCCTGGCTTTGCTACTAAGGGCTCCTTTTATCGCTACTAACATATAGTTTCTCAGCGCGGAAAAAAGAGGCA